GAAACTATAAAGTACCAAAGGACAATGAAAGAAGTCATTTTATGCTCAGCATGATGTTTTTTTTAGTATTTCAAAGAATGCTAGCTCTTTTTGGTCATCCATCTAATACAGGAACAGTGTCAGTCGTTGGTCTTAAATCAACAGAGAACAACAGAGAGTTGATGTGCCCTGTCCTAACAAGCAGGGTCTAAGATCAATGCATCAGTCAAAGAGCGGATGCTAACAAGTGAATGTGGTTCCTTGTTGTCTTTTTTTAGCCATGCAGACATAAATCATTCAAATATGTGTCAGGAAAAAATATACATAAAAAAACTGTATCTCATGCTGTGGGTAAATATTGACCTGTAGCCAGGAGGTCACAAAACTTCAAAGCTGCATGTGAGGCCTTGTTTTTTTTCCCATATTTGATCCATTCATCCTATTCCATTTTTTTTCTGGAGTCGGGCCATGGTAAACAAGATCCTGAGCGCAGTATTAAAGGGATCCCTCACCCACACTATATTTTTGAGCTTCTCCTGGGGGACAACAAAAGTGTTCTATAGCTGACCAAGATATGCAATCCCTACAGCAGATTTTTTTGCTCTATCCCCAGGTCACTGTCAGATGGACCTGCCTGAAAAACCTTCAAAGGGAAGTGCCTGCAGGCGGCACCCTTATTAAATATAATCAACCACATTACTGCTGACAGTGCACCAATCTGCCTGTCCATCTCCACACCATTTTACCCTTACTGGTGAACTACATCCAGGGATGACTGAACTCTTTGGAAACATACTCTCTAGTTGGATGGAGGACTCTTATTTTGGTATAGAGAACAACTTCATCCTTATCCCAGCCACTTTTCATTTTGCTGCAAACTGCCACTGTATGGTGTTAAAAAGTCAACAGACCTACATCCAAGCAATATGGAAATTATGGATAATTATTAGCTCCCCAAACCTCACGTTACCTTGCCCTGGAACTGCCTTACGATTTGGTTAGTCGTTGTACGGAGGCTGTGATCCGGAGGCTGTCGTGGCCTGGGTTCGGGTCTGGCATGTGGCTTTCCTGTGTGTCTTCCAGACGCTCACTCTCCTCAAATTCTGACTCTGTCCACTATCTTATCTCTACATAGAAGAAACTGAAAAAAAAATGAACCTAAAAAAGGACATTTTATTGACTTTGTGTGGAGAATACAAACACAGTTTCTAATTTGCTAACACAAGATATGTATGGCTTGAAGCATCAGCTCCAGCACGCCATAGTCCATGAAAAGTATTCCCAGTGGGACTGAGGCACAAGCCCTTCTAAGGCCACAAGACACAGGACTTTACATAGGACTGGCTTATTCCCATGACCCTTCCTGCAACCCGTAAAGGGTAAAGAACTGGTCCTCTGTCTCTCCTTAATAAGATGTCAGAACCTTCTTCCTTTCTTAATTTAATTCTTTATTATACTCTCTTGTGTAAATATATCATAAAGCATAAGAATATAAACAACTTTACTCATACAATAATGCTTTATTTGTAAAGCACCTTTCGTTCAGTTCCTAAGTGCGTACAAAATAAATCACATGAATAAAAACCATAGACTGTAAATAATAACAATGATGATAACCCAAAATAAATTGCAAGTTTACAGTCAACAATTGAAACTCCAATATATCCATATATGTTCCTCTTTGTTTGTCAGACACCTTACACTGAGAGCTTGAACTTTGAAGTAAATCACAAGCTTCCTGTATATTATCTTGTCCTCTAAATGAATCTGGCTTCACCAAGTGTCATGGGTGTAGCATCAGTCACACTCTCTCCCAAGGTCAAGGCATACAACTTTCGGCAATCCAAATGAGAAGAAGATATCAGGTGATGATCATTGGACAGGGATTGATCATCACCAACTGGAGCACTGACATATGTGGGGTTGGGATTTCTAAGGTGGACCCTGGTAGCTCCGCCCCCGTCTCTAATGAAATTGCCTTTTTTCATAGCTGTGCATAAATGTGTGCGGAGAGAAAAAAAACACACTCAAGAAAAAAGTTTCATCTCTAAAGCACTTTTTTCCCCCGAATATCTGTTATTCTAAACAGACTTCTTATCCCCCAACTGCATTGTAGATCTTAATTTCTCCTTTTTCAAAACTGTATTAGCCTTCAAAATGTCCCAAAACAATTACACGTGGGATCAACCAAAGGCAAGGTGCTGAAATAAAAAAGAAAGAAGTGAAAACCTAATGGCAAACAGAAACATAATTAGCCTATTAGGCAGCTTGACATTAATCAGAAATTAGAGTACCCAACCAAGTGGTTAATGTACTTTTTTTACTGTGACATTTCCAAGAAAGATAATAAATGGTGCAGGAGTTAGAGGCAAACCGTGTTAGATGACTTCAAATCCTTATTTCATTCATCATGTACTCCTGCATATAAAAGTGTATTTCTTAGACAGTTTAACTTAAATTCAGATCAATCATAATCATGTGTTATGAATTGGCACTATACAAATCAAGAGTTATCGATTAAAGAAAAATGTTCTCTTCCTTTTCTGCAGAGGATTCTGCATCACTGAACAATCTTCTCTGAACCTACTCCGCCTCTGTGGAAGAAATGAGTGGTGTGTAAAACACTGAGGGATGTGTGCTCAGGAGTAGGGAATACCACCACCTGCGTGGTACTGCCGTTTGCAAACTAAATCAACCGTCTGATACAATGCATGCCCTAAAATAGCAGTGCAACCCTATATGTAGAGCAAAATCTCTTGTGCTTTCTAGGCATGCATATATGCTCTCCAGACACACACATACACACACACACATATATACAGTATATAAATTCCCGTGTGAACCTACATTTTCCACATGAACTCTAGAGCAGTGAGAGGCTAGTTTCTGCCCAAGCTAACAGGATTTGATATATTTATACGTTTTTCTGTTCATGTTTGGATGACTCATCTATCAGTGGGTGTCCACTGCCTTGATCTTCTTCCAGAATCTTTCTTTTATTTTTTTGAGTTTGAGCTGGAATGTTCCCTCCTCATTTCCAATTCCTTCTCATCTGCCTTTTACAAATTTATGTATGGATTTTCATATTTGAAGAATTATGGTTATCCTCTTTTTAATTTCTCTCCAACCTCCGTCCTCATTCTCTCGCCCTTGGTTTCTTCCTCAGACCAGTCTGATAATGACTTGGAGAGCTGAAGCTCAGTCATACAGACAGTCGGGCAGTAATGAGGGCAGGAATACTGATTAATGTAATCAGTGGCTTGTTCCAGGTTATTACAATGTTTACTGTGGAAGGGGCGGCATTTGTCACTTGATTCTTTGTAAGGGCAGTGTCGTAACATTACGGTGTACAAAACCGTCATTAGGCCTGACAACCTGTGTTGACTGCAATCAACTGCCTTGCGAAAGTGTCCTTGCGCAAGAAACTTTTTGCAAATGCAGGAAGGCTATTATCCCTTCTCTTTCTCTTCCCCACTCCAACAGGGAGTCTGACCTCCTGAGTAAGGATCACAGACAGAAAAGTGTTTCCTGCTGAATTTAATAAAGCATCACATTTCTGTCAAAAGTCTCCAGTGGGCTATTTTTAAACATTAAACATGACTGAACTGGACCCTAACATATGAATAGCTTAAGCATATAAGTAATAATAATTATCATTTATATATTTAGTGTTAAGTGAATTAGACTTCCCCTCATTTTTACTGCCTTGTGTCATCGCCTCTTTTTTTAACCACAGTCAGGAGATCAGTTTCTGTCATGGTGAAAGTGGTGGCTTGATGATTTGAGCTGCTCAACAGTGCAGGGTTTCCTTTTATCATATTTAGCATTTTATACTTCTCAAAATATTTTCAATGGATGACAAGTAAGGCTTCTGGCAAGCCCGTTTAGCACCCAGACTCTTTAACTTTGGAGCCATGCTGGTGTAATTCATGCAGAACGTGGGTTTGGCATTGTCTTAATGAAAAAAAGTATGGCCTGCTCAGATAAAAAAATATTTATTTGGCTGCAAATGTCGCTCCAAAACCTGTATGTATGGTTCAGCATCAGTGATGACTTCTCATATGTGCAGGTTCACCATCCCATGTGCACTAATGCACCTCCATACTGTCGCGGATGCTGGCTTTTTATGGCACTGATAACAAGCCAGATGGTCTCTCTGCTCTCAGTGGTGTCTGTTTCTAATGCAGGGGCGTCTGAGGGCCTGACGATCACAGCCAGCCACTGTTGGGTTGCTGTTTTTGCTTTGTGTACGGAGATTTCTTCAGAGTCTCTGAATCTTTTAGTGATATAAGTGGTATGTACTGTAGACAATGAAAATCCCAGATTATTTGTAATTATGTAAAAAAAAAATAATAATAATCTTTTGCTTCCCTTGACCCAACTGTTTTGAAAAATGTTGTTGGCATCAAATCCAAAAATGGGCATATCATTTTCCAAAAACTATGAAATGTATCAGTTTCCACATTAGATTTTTTGTTTTTTACACAGCATCTAAAACGTTGAGGAAATTGGGTTGTACTTGTTCTCTTAAATATTGGACTTATTTGCTAATTGATCATAATTTCATTTCAAAGTCATGTTGTAGATTATGACTTTGTTAATTTCCAAGTACTATAAAGACCTCAATCAAATTTTTTTTTCAATTACTGTAAATCGCAAAATCGAATCAAATGCCATCAGCAGATTAACACATATCCAATTAATTATCTAACACGCAAAACTTAAGTATTGACCCTTTTTTCAGACAGTCAGAGCTCTTTTATATCTATATACCTAATGTCTTGAGGCATCCCTAACTTCTTCTAGCATCATGAGGCGTTTGGAATTTTTGGGGTTGAGTCCAGTGTCTCAGAACATTTTGGTAGATTCCTTAAAAATCTTATACAATCATTTATGTAAATTCACATTAAAATAACTGTAGTAATATTTAGACTTTTTTATCTTCTACCACCTATAGGGTCATTGGTTTATGTCAAATAATCATGTTTTCTTGGATGTTTTGTGTCTGTGTTTTTGTGCAGGACTTTGATGACTTCATCTTTGCGTTCTTTGCCATTGAGATGGTGATCAAGATGGTGGCTCTGGGGATTTTTGGCAAGAAGTGTTACCTTGGAGACACGTGGAACCGCTTGGACTTCTTCATAGTTGTGGCTGGGTGAGTTATGCAAGAACAAACACAAGAGCAGCACACAAACACAAAGAGGTGGCCAAACTTCACCCTGCAGAAACACTGGAGGCTTGCACAAGAAGCGGTGCAAACACACACAGGCAACACATTTGAAAAGCAATGAATCTGGGCATTAGGATTTAAGAGTGCAGGGACAGATTGATGAACAGAGACAGACTCAGGAGTGTAATAGATGTTTGTAGCTTGCAAATGTGATCGTCCTAGATTTCAACAAGCTGCACGGTTTCATTTGCTTTATGATCTCAGAGCACATCAAACAACATGAATTTAAAGCAAGAAGCTGGAGTTACCAGTCCTCTAAGCAACATCAGTCTCCTTCCCTGTATCCTCCTCCAGGCTGGTTCTTAAATAAATGTTACTCTCGATGTCCCATAAAAGCCTTTTAACCTGAAAATGGAAGCAAGCACTCGCTTTAATACAGAATCTGTCAAACAGCTGAGGAGACTGGGATTACTTTTTACACTGAGTGAATGCACCTATAGAAAAAACCTGTTCCTATTAACTAACTACACATGTATAAACCTATGGGCACATTACACTCAGCACAAAGACACACACACACATGCACATGCTGGCATTATTATACATTTTCATTCATATTCAAAAAAATAGTATATACCCTATTACTGGTATGAAATGATAATGCATGCATAATTGGAATGTGCAGCAGTCACACGCACAGCCAGATTCACACACACACACACACACACACACACACACACACACACACACACACACACACACACACACACACACAAACACACACACTCACACTCACACACACACACACACACACACACACACACACAACACACACACTCACACACACACACACACACACACACACACACAGCAATGCACACAAATTGTAATTTGATTAAACATGTTACAGAACATAGCCTGCTGCTTTTGGTCTGACATTTTCATCACACTTCATCCCCTGCTGGCTTTTAATGCCATCCTTCTGCCACGGCTTCTGTTGTCCGTCAGCAGGAACAGGGCACATTTCTTTCTATGTAAACGTGTAATTAAAGTCAATGTCATTTTGGTCAAATCAACAAAACTTTATGTCATGAAACTTTAGACTTACAGAAGTCTAGATTTGTTACAATAAGTTTCAGTACAACGAGAAATCTACTCGAGCAAGCAGTTAGACCTCAGCAGGAAAACACAGGCCGAAATGTCAACAACAGGATGTTCACAACATCACTGTCAATCCATCTTTATTTGTATAGCGTCAATTCCTAAAACATTTTCAACTCAAGACACTTGAGAAAAAGAGCAGGTCTAATGATATTTGTATTATTATTTACATAGACCTAATATTAATCCACTATGAACGAGGCACTTGGGGGCTTTTAGTCAAGTAGCAGTTGAAAGGAAAAACTGTTAAACAGAAAGAAAACCTCAAACCGAACCAGGCTCATGGTGAAGAGCAACAACTGTGCTGGGCTTAGAAAGTGGGATAGAGGGAGATGCAGATGAAAGAGATGGTTAGAGACAAACAGACTAACAACAACAACTACAATGAATAAAACAGATTCATAGTTACAACTCCAGTAATAATGGTATGTGTGGTACACTATGTGTGCTTAGGTCCTTCAGTCGCAGAGATGACAGTTCACCTACTTTAATGTGTTAACAACCCTACAGTAATATGCATAACTTTGATTACCATGAGGTATAGGTTTCAATATAGGCTCTCTTCTCTTTATGTACCTGTATGGGTCCATCAGTGCAAATCTTTTCGTAATATTATAGATCATAAAGCTACTACCTCATTGCCTGTCCCAGTTCAGAGAACTCCAGTGCCAGAATACCAGAGGACCCTTGATGTCTGATATTCTGGACTTATACGCTGAGTGATAATAAGGCCAATGAAACAATGTTCAGAATTACACTACAGTAACAGGCAATAAAATCAGATGTAATAAGATATCCCCCTAAGATGCATACTAATGAAACCATTATTTCCAGTGGGGGAGAAACTAGGTCATTGTAGCAGTGCGGAAACCTGCTTTGTGTGTTGTTAGTTGTTATCGCTAAAGTTTGTGCGCCGCCGACAAGGCAAACTGCACCTACAAGTAGACTAGAAGACTCCTTGTTATCTGTTATCTGTTATAACCAACATGTCTGCAGCAGTGTAGGCACCAAAACAAATGTGTTAGATTATAATGATAAATTTTGGTTTTCGTTTTAAACTTGGAAGGTCTACTTCAAGGAAAATATGAAAGAATGGGTGACGGGTCAGGACTTCAGGCAAGCCAGTTTAATCACCAGACTCTTTAACTTTGGAGCCATGCTGGTGTTCATGCAGAATGTGGTTTGGCATTGTCTTCATGAAAAAAGTATGGCTTTCTCCGAAAAAGAAGTTCTTTCTTTGGCTGCATAGTTCACTCTACTCTCACTTGAATGTATGGTTCAGCATCAATGTGCAGGTTCCCCAGCCTATATTTGCACTAATGCACCTTCATACTATCGCAGATGCTGGCTTTTTAATTGTGCACTCACAACAAGCCAGATGGTTCTTCTCCTCTCACAATTGTTTCTGTTTTTAATGCAAGCCAATGTTGTTGTTTTTTTTGCGTTGTCCCGTTAGTCAGAGATTTCCTGATTAGTGATATTAGTGGTGTGTACTGTTCGACAATGAAAGCCCTATCTTATTTGCAATTTATGTAAAAAAAAACAACAACATGATTCCTAAATTGTCAATTCCTTCAATCGTTTCATCTGGGAGAATGCCCTTTGTTTGTTTGACCTATACCCACCTCTTGATGCAGATGTTCTTTATATTAAGTCACCTGTCTTTCTCTTGTGCTCTGCTTCTGCTACAGTTAGAGGCACTAGCTGTATCATGCTTAATGGAAACACCATTGCTCATCCAACTGATTGATTGGAACAGCCTTCTCCTCCAAAGAACAGATAGACTATGGCTCTAACACGATACCCAATACTATTATCCTGATCAAAATCAATTAGACTAGCTGAAGTGGTTCACACAACCAAACTTGAAAATAGAGAAAATAGGATGTACTTCAGAAATAGATATTACTTGAACTATCACAGTATTGAAGTGTTCATTGATAAGTCAATTTAATAATAGAAAATATGTCCAAATTTATGTATCAACTTTTTTTTAAATGGTTAAACTAAGTATAAGTAACAGTTTATATTTTTGTTTAATGCAGGTATCTGAATTTAATGAATTATAGTTTGTCTAATCTTGACTATAACTGGACTATGCGTTATGAATGTCACCTCTATGGCAGCAAAATTACATTTTTAAATTAATGTACCTTTTGAACATGGTCCAACACAAACATTCATTGGAGAAGCTGAAAGCAGGCTGTGTTTACTATCTTTGATGAAAAAAAGAAGGCAAAAAAACCCCCATTTCTTTTGTATTTTTCTGCCAGTGTTTTTGTTCAACACTGTGAAAAAACATACACAACATGTGAACAGAATATTAAGGCCCAAGTTGTAATTTCTCAAGCTTTCATCATATGCTTCGTGCGAGCATATAAACAGGTATCTTATATATGTGCAGAAACGTGGAGATGTTAGAATCAGAATCAGGATCGGGTTTTATTGCCAAGTACATTTAACCATTTGACTTGGTGTATTGGTGCTAAACAATTAACAAGGATATAACGCAGAACTAGCAACAACTTGAATAATACAGTATAAGAAGCTATTACAATATATATATAGAATTTCAAAATGTAAAATATTAAATATTAAAAAAAATAAAAATAAAAGACACAAATTATACAAAAGGTGTAATGTAGGAGCTGTGCAGTGCACTGGGAGAGACGATGAGTTCGGCATTCAAGTTGTAAAAATGTAGCTCAAGGCAAATGACAAAGGTCTGTATTTTTTGCACCAAGTGGTTTTGAGTCACATACACACCAAATCCAGTTTTTTACAGCATAAATGAACATTATCGTCTTCACTGGCACACACTCTACTGGGGGGTGATTTTTTTTTTTAAAACTGCTCAATTTTGAAAACGATACGTGTTATCCATAGTTAAGCGTGTAGCTAACATGGTTGACAGGTGGGCGCCATGTAATGGTTTCTCAGGAGGCTTAAAACCCACCTCAGCTCCAACTCTTAGCCTGTCGATTAGCCTAAATGCCTAACCAATGTCGTCACTGATGGGTGATGTCACTCAGGTTTTGTAAATTAATATTTGCAGTCTTTGGTTTGCCCGAGTCGAGGTTGCTGCAGCCTGGTCTGTGACGGGTGTCAATTTGCAAAGATGAGGGTGGCTGCTGTTTCAGTGGCATGACGCAAAATTGATTAAAAAAAAAATGTTTGAGTATATGAACTTATGGCTACACTTAGCGACACTTGCATTGTCTTGTCAATCATAATAATGGAGTTGACTACATGAGGGAAGACCCCTCTGCTCTGCTATGCGTTGGAGTCCTGGTGAGTCTGTCAGGGTTCCATTCCTCTTATTACAGCCCGCTCACTGTACGTAATGCCCAACATGGTGCACATGCAGCTCCTCCTGTTGGAAATATATTTAGGCTAGACTCATTTTCATGAAGACACGCACGGCATGCTTGTAGTGTTGCTTAATATGTACATTATGTAATCTGAGACTTGTTAGGTAAGGGAAAATCCTTTACATATCTCCCGCTTGATTTCAGTCCAGTAATGATGCAAACTTTAAAACCCAGAGTAGGTGTGCCCTTTTTCTTCCTGAACATATTTCCTGTCACGCTTTCCCATTTCATGAAAAGGGAAAAATGTCATGACAGTGATTTATGAAAAAAGCTTGCCATGGGTTTGGTGTGTTTATCAGAGCATGAATGATATAGAGCGTAACAGAAAACATGGGATATGAAATTAACTTCTCTATAATGTCCATATCTTCTGATGTCTGCATGTATGTTGGCTACCTCTGAGAGTGACACTGCATATGTTAATCTGTCTCCATGTATTTAGGGATGTTGCCA